ATCTTCCCCCTCCACCTCTCAGATTTCATTTCCTACCACTCCAGTCCTCTCTCCCCCTGCTTTAGGCAGAATGGCCTCCGGGTTATTCCTACAGCATAACAAGCACATGGCTGTTCCAGCCCTTCACATGTGCTGCTCCCTCTGCCCTGTAAAGATTTACATGACTCCATCTTGCAATTCAGATGTCCTTGGAATGCCACCATATCAAAGGGCCTCACTGGCTGCTGGTTCATTGACTTCCACCCTTCGTTAGAACAGAATATCATTGAGGACATGTTCTTTGTTTTATTTGTTGCTTTATCCCCAGCACTCTTTCTTGGTACATGGTAAATATTCAACAAAATGTGTTGAGTGAATGAATGATTCATGAATAAAGTTTATTCATCTATAAAGGACTAACAAGGCCATCACTGAATAATCTAGCTCCTATCTTTCCAGTAGCATCTTAGTCATCTCCCCTCCCTCTGTGCACAGACATTCTCACACCCTTCAGTCTATGCTCAAAAGATTGGATGTTTTTCATTTTCTTCAATGTGCTTTGCTCCCTCTTGTCCTCATGTGTTCACACATACTGTTTTCTCTTCATTGAACATTGTACCCCCACATCTGTGTCCAGCTAGCTCTCCCAGGCCTTCCTTCCTCTAGGAAACCATTCTGACTGTCCACGTCTGAGTTTTATACTTCTCCTAGCACACAACACAGTAACTTCCCATATAATTGCACTTATTCTACAGTATTCCAATTGCTTCTTTACTTATCAGTACCTACCATGCACTTTGAGCCTGAAGACAGGGACAGATCTATCTTTTTATCGTTATCGCTATAATTCCAGTACTGTGCCTCAATGAATATTTATGGAATGATTGATCTCTCAACAGTACATTTACAGGCTCTAAGTTGCTGGAGGGCGTAGCCTAGAGGTTTAATGGAATCCTAATATCTCTTAATAACAATAATGGGGATGTACCTGGCACTGAAGCCTACATGGGGTGTCACAGTGCATTTGCTAAAAAGAGCTACAGAATCTCAAGGTATTCTTTTACATTCAGAAATAGCCACGTGGGGATGTGCCTAATCCAGTGTCCCATGGGGATTGATTTGGGGGATTTCCACGTGGCATCAGTCTCATCTGTGTGAAAGGCCCCGGGGCTGGAAGAGAAGGGAATAGAAGAGGGTACTGAGCTCAGTGCCAGATCGTTAACTGGATCTTGTGGGTTATTTTAAGTAAGTATTTCCAGGAAGAGAATGTCAAGCTCTATGTGAACTCAGTTTTCTCTCATGTCAACATGAGAACAGCAGTAAAGATAGTCTCCTTCCCAGCATTCCTTTGAAGAATAATAAATAAATGTGATAAGAAAATGTTCACAAAATAAAACAAACTTTGAAGTAAAAAGCAGCCAGCCAGAATTGTTCATGTAGCTGAAAATTATTCCACATTATAGCCATTCCTATCAGTCTAATACAGTGATGGCGAACCTATGACACGCGTGTCAGAGGTGACACGCGAACTCATTTTTTTGGTTGATTTTTCTTTGTTAAATGGCAATTAAATATATAAAATAAATATCAAAACTATAAGTCTTTGTTTTACTATGGTTGCAAATATCAAAAAATTTCTATATGTGACACGGCCCCAGAGTTAAGTTAGGGTTTTTCAAAATGCTGACACGCCGAGCTCAAAAGGTTCGCCATCACTGACCTAGAATGTTGGAACTTTCAGTCTCACCTCCCTGACCTCTGGGGAGGGAAGAGGGGCTAGAAGTTGAATCAATGGCTAATGACCAATGAACTAATCAATTATGCCTATGTAGTGAAGCGCCATAAAACCCAAAGGACGATTCACACACACACACACACTCACACACACACACACACACACACACACACACACTAGGTGCTATGAAGTGTACAGACAGGAGGACTAACTTCACGTGCTTATAAATATATTTTGATTCTTATCCCAAATGATCATTTAAAGTTTAAATATTCATTTATTCACTATTAATATATTTAATATGATTATACATATAACCAAGTCAAGTCAACGAGGCAGTTATCCCAGTTTCAAAATGAGATGGTTAGACTAGAAGATCTCTAATGAATTCTCAGTTCTAAGAATCAATGAGTTTTGACTTTGAGTTTGCATTCTCTCACACATGCTTTGATAAAGACAAACAGAGCTGCACATGACAGTTTGAATAAGCCAGTATTACTCAAAAGTACTGGCATGTGGAATATACTCACTGGAAGTTTCTTGGTGGTAGATGTAAACTGTGCTTGCTACACTGAACAGAATTCTTGCACCACAAGCTTGATTCCAGATGCAAACCTTCCATTGTCATCAATAGATGCTCCTGCATTGTCAACAATACTATACCTTGTGCGAGTGAGCAAGCTATCATCCTAAGTAGACATTCTAAAACAGGTAGCCCTTTCTGGTTAAAAAATATATTGACAAAGAAAGGGCATTGGGGTGGAAGGAGAGCAGTAGTGTGCACTGCACAAGTCCAGGGAGTCATGCACATTCTACTCTATGTACTGGGCGCTTCTTGGAGAGAAGGGAGAGCAACGCAAGCATAGTTTTCATTCCATTGGTCTGTATGGAAAGCAAATATGCACAATACTTCAGCTAGTTGTGTTTTTATAACTAATAACCAAATAACTAAGTCTTGAGTTTAAATGAATCCCAAAGAAAGACAATTAAATTGGCTCAAGTTTTCTGGCTAAGAAAGCCAGATTCATGCCAAGTTCTAATATCTTATATCTTAAAGCAAAGAGAGCAAACTAGCTGCTCTGAATGAAGCAAATTAGTAAAGTGCAAGGGAAAAAAGCATAAATGATGGTTTTAATGTTTAGCCTAGTACTAGCTTCATTCAACCTTGAAATATTTATTCAATGCCTGCTATTCATCAGATTGTGATATTCCGATGCGTTCTACATTTTAGGTTCTTACAGCGCCATGGAATAACATAGGATTACAATATCTTTGGACTCTTATTGCAAGCAATCAATTCATTTAAAGTTAAAAGACATATTCATTAATTTTTATTAATTTACTATGTATGTAGTTAAATCAGATTAAAAGCTTTCAAGTCAAGCATAATTTTCAGGAACAAATAAAACAAGTTAGCCCTGACCGGTTTGGCTCAGTGGATAGAGCATTGGCCTGCGGACTCAAGGGTCCCAGGTTCGATTCCGGTCAGGAACCAGCCCTGAGTGGTTTGGCTCAGTGGAGAGAGCGTCGGCCTGAGGACTAAAGGGTCCCAGGTTCGATTCCGGTCAAGGGCATGTACCTTGGTTTCGGGCACATCCCCAGTAGGGAGTGTGCAGGAGGCAGCTGATCGATGTTTCTCTCTCATCGATGTTTCTAACTCTCGATCCCTCTCCCTTCCTCTCTGTAAAAAATCAATAAAATACATTAAAAAAAAACAAAACCAAAAGTTGGCTATTTAACTGAGCACCAGGATCTTGTGTCTAAGAATCATGTAAGATCTACCAGTTCTAACACTTACATTTATAACAGTATCTAAGGAGGGGTCTTCAGTGTAGGGTCTTTATAAAGATGACAGATTATTGAGAATGATGAAGCCTCCTTTTAGAAGTAAGAGATCTATATAATTTATAATATATAGTTTTTCTAACATCAAGTTGTATACTATGGATTAAAAATCAATGTACACTAGATTTTTCTTTTAACATCAACCTTTCACTTATTAATAGACAGTGATAATACTTGAGTACTGTAGTTTAATGAATAATTTCTCCAAGCATTATTTTAATCAAAGGGATTGAATGCAGAGCCCCAAAATGGACTCCTGAATATAGAAAAAAATATAATAAAGGTAGTATTTTAGATAAGAAAAAAGAATGTATATCCAATAATTTGTTGGAACTATTGGTCATCCACTAGAGGCAAAAAATGTTTAGATTCCTTTATCACACCATTCACTAATAATTTTCATATACATTAAAATATAAGCATGGAAAAACTATAAAAGCAATCAGAAGAAATAAAAAAATGTTGTAATACCTTGGATAGGAAAGACCATTTAAAAAAAAAAAGACTAAGAAGGCAAACAACACAAAGAAAAAGACCAGTACAGTGAGGCCTTGACTTACGAGAGTCCCAACTAACGAGTTTTTTGAGATACCAGCTGTCTCTCAGCCGATTTTTTGCATTGAGTTGATAGAGTAATTTGAGTTAATGAGCTCCTTAACAAGCTCCTTAACGAGCTCCGTCTCAGAACGAATTAAACTCGTAAGTCAAGGCCCCACTGAAAGATATAATTTTTTTAAAAAATGACTTCATCACTATGAAAAATAACCCAAGGAAAGTTAAAAGACAAGAATGAGGATTAAGGATTAAAATATTTACATAAGCCATTACAAACAAAAATTAAGAATTGCCAGGTATGACTGCATAGGTTGTGCTCTGCATACCAGGGGAGCCATTCAAGTAGACTACAAGGTGAATGGTGCCCCTGAAGTGCCCTGATCAAAGTCAATATATATAAAGCACCTCTATATCAATAAGAAGAAAAGATCAAAAAGCCATCCAATGGAAAAGTAGGCAAAGGATGTGAAAAGTGAATTCATGGAGGAGGAAATCCAAGTAACAATAAGCATATAGTATCCAAAGATGTTCAATCTTGTTTGTAATAAAATAAATACACATTGAATATATGTACTTCAATTGAATAATATGCACTGCCATTCTGTGCTTGCACCTTAAGACAGGGTGGTAATAAAAAGTCACAAGAGGACATATTGCAGAATTTTAAAAATGACAATGGCAGTTGTACAAGCTACAGTAGCCAAGACTGACATTTTACTACACACCTAAAGTTTACTTAAAGAAGATTGCATTACTTGTCATCATTTCTCCCCAATATTCCCTCTACCCCCTACCTCTCCCCGCCCCCACACACACACCCTTCCCTTTATGATGTTCCTCTCTTCCATATCTCAGGCCCCTGCTTGGGAACCTAGCTCCTGCTCACCTTGGCTTCTTCTCTCTCCCTCTGTTATGATTTTCCTACTCAGTATTCAAACCCAGGCTGGTCTGATCCAGCATTGCACTGCTGATGTCTCCTACAAAAAAAGAAGACTGCTATCTAGATGAATAGGCCTGGACCTCACCCCATCCTACAGAAGTCTCATGCTTAATAAATATATTCAGGGGCTATCTATGAAAGATCCCCAGCTGTCTGCCCTGACTGAGAAAGCTGAGTCAGATATCTGCCTCAAGTCAATGCAGCTACAAGAGCTTGTAAAGGCAGTTGGGAAATCAGGAGGCCAGAGTTTGCAAGAGTGGACAAGCACCAAGCACTCAGAAGGAAAATACAAACTTTGGGAGTCAGAGCAGGCTGGAGAGGGACCAGTAGGTACCTGGGAATCAGAAGCATGAAACTGCAGGCAATAGATGATCATTTATAGTCAAGGACCAATGCCACAAGATGGGAGCATAAAGAATGTGGAGGCAGCAACAGTGGGGAAGAACCCACATTGCGGCCCTGGTCGCATCCCTGTCAATGGACTTTGCCACAGTTCTCTTGAGGGAGGAGCCACTCCCAAGGCAGTTAACCTGAGCCACTTCTTACCTGGTGTGCTTTTGAAAAGCTAGTGGTGCCCAGGCTGCACCACATGCCAATTAAGCTAACATTTCTCAGGTAGAGACAGCCATTAATAATGTTTTCTGGAAGAATTAAGATGCCTTCTCTCATTATTTTCTCACAGGAGAGCTCAGGCTCCAGGTTCATAAAGTCATCACAGCTTCTGGGTCTAGACTGAACATTCTCTTCAGAGCTAAGTCATCAGACAGACTCTCCATCCCATCCCAACCTCCAAAAGATTTTGCAATATAGACCCAACATGACATTCCACTGTTTATTTTCTCTCTGAAACTAATATATCAAGATTGTAGAGCATATTTTTGATAATTGGGGCAACAACTGGATTTATAGTCCTACCTGGCATAAATTAGCCTCAAAATTTATTGGCAGAAATGTAAGTTGCATAATTACTCGGTAGTGGTTAGGTATTCTTGATATGTTTATTGGCTAGAACCTGAGCTCTGTACATGCATGGACACGTGTGAAATTCCCCACTCTGGATGCCTCTTCTCTGGCTCTTGGGGGTAGATTTATGAAGGTATTACAATACAATATACTGTATAGTTTTGCTTTTATAATTTGGTTAGTTTGGGGTAGCCAAGAGAAGAAGCTAAACCTTTACATGCTGAAATAATAATTTATTCCTTTGATAACATTGGGCTTTATGTGCAAATACAAACACAAAATAAAAAATAAATTAACTTGGAAATTATTTGACTGATTACTGTAGCTATATAACAATTCTTTGGCATTCTGCAGATGGCCCCATTTTCTGACAGTATCAAGATACCCAACTTAATGTACATGAAATAAGCATTCTGTCCACGTCACATACCCAAGATGGATCACGGAGCTCTTAAAAGTTATTCCCTTAAGTTCTCAGGTCTGCTCTCCTGATTCCTCTGCCACCTGAAGATCTCGATTAACTTGCTTCTGGAAATCTGAAGTCTAAAATGCTTCATGAATAATATTACCCAGAAAGAAACTGTGAGGCCATGGGCAAGGAATGGTACTCCATTGCTTAAATGATGGGCTTATAATTTTCTCTACCAAAAAAAAAAAAAAAAGGCTTTGAAGAGAAAGAAAGATCTGGAGTTGAGTGTCCCAATAGAGATTTGAAAATCTCTCTAATGATAAACAATATTTAAAAGAAAAAACTATGGTTTTAGGTATTGGGATGAATGATGGGTTCTTAGCTAGGCAAAGATATTGATCAGAAACTAGATGAAGGAGAGGGAGACAATTGCCTTGATAAACCTATGAAAGTGGTTCCTGTAGAGGACAACAATGTAAGATGAGAAAATGAATAAGAATATGAGAGGTACCTAGTGTCTTATACCCCAAAAATATTGGAGGGGAAATGGGAGATAGAAATAATGCAGCCCCAAAATCTTTATACTAATAATAGCTGTTATTGATTATTTACTATGTACATATCACTTTTAAACTTAAGGACAACCTTATAAAGTAGGTACTAATTACTTTCATATTACAGATAGAGCAAATGAGGCCTATAGAAGCTGAGTAACTTGAACAAAGACACACACAGCTGGTAGTGGGAAAACAAGAATTTAGACATGAGCAATCCAATCCAGAGCCCACACAAACCAGCCCAGTGTGTGTTGTAAACAAAGTAAGCTTGAGATGATAGTATAATGTGATTTTTGAGACATGGTGGGAAGAGACTCCAGGTCAAAATACAGTGGTGGAAGAGCATGTCCTATCCTATATAATAAAGTCTCTAGTTCTCAAATAATAGGCCTATAATAACAGGAGACTGGACATCCTGGCTGGTGTGATTCAGTTGATTGGAGAGTCATTCTGTAAACCAAGGGGTGGCAGGTTCCATTCCTAGTCAGGGCACATACCCAGGTTGTGAGTTTGATCGCCGGGTGGTGCGGGCAGTAGGCAACTGATATCTCTCTCTCTCTCTCTCTCTCTCATCAAAATTTTAAAAAGGGAAACTGGATGGTACTACATGTCAAGAAGGGATTCACCTGAGCAACCTGCCAATGGAAACCCTGTAGTGAATGAGTGAGTTAGAGAAGATCACAAACGACTTCTTTTGGAACTTTGCTATGGGCCACCTGGTCAGAAAAAGAAAATTAATTACATATTTCTGACAGAAAAAACGAGTATAGAAGATCTAGGATTGACCATTGACTATATAGTGGTAGGCTGCTCTTGACTTGCCTTCACTTTAATAAAATGGAAGTAGGTTTCTCTATTTCAATAACTAGGAATGAATGGGTAAACATAATCACACATGTGCCTTAGACTTTAGGAAGGCAGAATTGTTTAAAGTCTAGGAAAGAAAAGCATAGTTCTCCTTCCAAGAAATGTGCCTAGAAAGGCCACAGATACAATTCTAGCGGTACTCAAAAATACATGATTAGGTTAGAAAAGAACCAGGAACTATATCCCTAGGAACGTTAAGGAGACTGTGCCAGTCATTACGGTGTTACGTCTCAACTTCAGATCCACCCTTCTCTATTTGGCTCTGCACAGCAAGCACGGTTTGGCTTGGATCTTAGGGTCCCCTCTTTGATGAGCCAATAGGGGGCGCCAGAGAGAGAGAGACCGCTCTGCTGAATGGAGAAGGGATGGGGCTTGCTCCTGTATGTTCGCAGGTCTTGAAGTCATGGGAGCAATAGCAGCTTCTTCTAGAAGCAGCAGCTGAATCTAGTTTGCAGTTTTTCCAACACTTGCCACATCAGCCCTCCACCCAATCCCCGAAGACAGCTGATCTGCGCTCCCTCTTCAAAAATCTAGGTCTCCTGAGGTCACTCTTCCAAGCTCAGAGACACCAGCACCAGCCAAGCAGCCTCTTCCCAGAAATCTGAATTCCAGCTCTGTGGGAGCCCTCCTTTCAGTTCCTAAGTTTTAATAGCCTCCATTCTTCCTTTTGTTCTTTCAGTCCAAGGAGTGATAGCTGCTTCAGTTGTTACTTCCTCCGTGATAGCTTAGAGTTCTCTTGGTACCCTTTCGCTGACCTTGTTAACTATTTCCTAATTTATTAACAGTTTTCATACATTAAATTCTCTTTGTTCAAGTAACTGGTAGAGGTTTTCGTCTCCTGGAAGGACCCTAATTGACAGAAAAAGCAGAGGGAATGAATGCTAAAGCCCTGAATGAGTAGAAAAAAAGAAAAGAAAAAAGTCCAAGGCAATCAGTAGGGTTTTTAAAAGGAATTTCCTGCTTAAGAAGGAGACCGAGGAAAGGCCGGATGTTTGGAGGGGATGGTAAAGTGCTAAGTGTCCTTTCCTTGGAGGATTTGAACCCAGGCTGGAACGTCAATGGGCAGAAACGTGGCAGAGGAAGTCGTGGATTGGAGGGGTGTTGACTCAGATGCTTGTTGAGTTGCAGATTCTGAGGGACAGCACCCAGCACCACCCCATAGCTCCCGGTGCTCTCCTGTTATCAGAACACTTGCCTTAGGATTTCTGAAGGGCTCTTCCTCAAGCTTCTCTCTCTTCTTCACACTCTCTAGTTCCAGAGACATCTACCTATTCGGGTCCTCTAGAGCAGTGGTTCTCAACCTGTGGGTCGCGACCCCTTTGGGGGTTGAACGTCCCTTTCACAGGGGTCGCCTAAGACCATCGGAAAACACATATATAATTACATATTGTTTTTGTGATTAATCACTACGCTTTAAATATGTTCAATTTGTAACAGTGAAATTCGGGGTCACCACAACATGAGGAACTGTATTAAAGGCTCGCAGCGTTAGGAAGGTTGAGAACCACTGCTCTAGAGGGCTATTCCTTACTATTCCCTACAGAGGCCTGGGAATCTGCTCTTTCTGTGAGATCAAGAACCTCTTTGTCTGACCCCGAGCTCTAGAAAGAAACCTGTCTGTTCTTTAAATTTCATTACAGAAATGGAGTCCACATGGCACGTCTGGTACCCCAGAAATCCATGTATTTCCTTGGCACACCTGAACTTTCCTGTTGTCTGTGGAACTTTGAAAAGCCCCCTCTGGGGTTGGCTAAACAGAATTCCTTCACAATGTTAGAATAATCAGCTGGGTCCCTGGCTGCAGTGCATCTTGACCTTCTGCATCCAGAAATTCTCCAAGGTTAGATCCATTCTAACATCTGCCCTGTATCTCAATCTTCTGGCCTTGTCCCTTAAAAGTACCATTTCTTGCTCCACATCCGTGCCTCACCTCCATTGTTAGCTGCCAGCAGGACAGGTATTTCTTTGTATTTGTGAAGAAAAATAAAGTCACTTTTCTCTTTTTATTTCTCTAGCCTTACTAGACTAATTGACCCTTTTTTTTTTTCCCAATCAGCCATTGTTTCTCACCAGCTTCCTCTTTTCCCAAAATTCCAAATAAGAGAATATCCAAATGACAGAATCTAAGCTCTGAACCCAGAAGGTACCATTGTTGGAAATTCCAGCCCAATTAAGTTCTTCCCACTGACTGTCCCATAAGTTTTCTCTAGTCATCCTGAACTAATAGCAGTTGCTTCATCCGACCCACACAATCATGACATAACACGATCCACTGCAAATGAGAAATAAATTCAACCATCATCACAACAAAAAAAGTTTTCCAAAGTCTTCCGAAACTTTTGGACACTGAGCAAAAGAGACAGGCATTGAATTCCTTCTTTTCCAACTTTCTCTTTTCTTCTTCTCATTTTCTACTATTTGCTCTTCATCTTCTCATTACTTAAGAGTCAGACCACAACACACCAGATATTATATAGAAAAATCAGGAGACGAAAGGCATACTATCTAAGACACTAAAAGGAGACAATGTATATTTTAAATCACCATTTCTATGGGATGGCAAAAAAAAAAATTCCCCTTTTTAAAAAATGTAGCCAAGGGAAATTTATCAGAGAAGATAGGTCCAAGGAGTGAGAGCTGAGTGGGCAACTGCCCCTTGCATATGTTTTGATTTAAAATAGTTACCTTTTGTTCAGCTTAGCTCTTAGCTCCCACATCTTTCTGCTTTCAATTCCTCAAGGAAGGCACCCCTGAGTACAGTGTGAGGGAGGGAGGCACTTTAATTCAGAGTTCTTGAGAACAGCTTGCTATTTTCAACTAAGTCCAGTAGCTAGTGGAATGCAGGCTTCACTGGCCCCACCCTATTTCTCCCACCCAGATATTTTTCCTTTTTGTCCAGCGAAGTGTCATGTGTTCCTAAGAAAAAAGAAAAAGAAAAATCTTTACTTAAACTATGATGCTCTAAACTGCTCAGTCCATTCTGGCCAAATTGAAGATGCTTGGATTGAGTTGTGATGGAGAAAAGAAGAGACGGATTTATCAGACATTTAGAGGAGTGGAAACGTTCTTTTAGGCCCTGTAGAACATGTAGGTTGCAGGCTACTGCTGTGCAGGAGGTCTGGCTTTGGATGCACTCATTGCATTAATAAACCCACACTTATTGTGTGCCTTTTAGCACAGCGCCTACAAGGTGCTGTGCTCAATAATGTGAAGGTACACAATCAGATATATCAGCGATCTTGCCTTCCAGGAGCCTACAAATCACATGCAATAAGACATGAACATAACTTGCTCTGATATGTGGCATAATGAAATCAGTGCCATAAAGAAGTAGAAGTTCTATGAGAGTCCAGAGAAAGTGTGTGTGGGGAAGTGGGGGGGGGGGGCAGTATCATCACTTCTTTTCTTCAAGAAAGGCTTCCTGGAGGAAGGGGCAGTTGAAATGCAAAAGAGCAAAAAGAGAAGGGCCTTCAGAAGCTTAGGCAGGGCAGGAACAATGGGGTGGGTGAGTCAAGGGAAGGGAAAGGTCCTTTGAGGAGACTTGCAGATGGTTATAGTGACCAGGAAGACTCAGAGGTAATATTTACTGAAGAACCTTATTCTAGTGAGCTTACTTGGATTAGTGTTCTTTGATTTTGCCTACTTTCAGAGTAATTCAGGTAATGTCTGCATAATCCTTGAAGATTCTGTGCTTTCAATATGCCCATAAAATTTCTTACATAAAATTCTGTAGTCAATCTTGCTTGCTCTCGCTCATTCTCTCTCTCTCTCTCTCTCTCTCTCTCTCTCTCTCTCTCTCTCTCTCCCACACACACACACACACACACACAAACACACACACACACACACACACACACACACACACACACCCGACATGCATATATTTTGTGATAGAACAGAAGAGAATAAATATTTAAAGCCAACTCTAAAAAGGCAGGGCCTCTGATTTTCTGCATTAAACTCTGAGCTACACACTCACTCCATCAGAAACATATGGACTTGGTCCCTGGTCTTGCTTCCTGGGAATGAGGTCAAAGACTTCAGGCCTGAGAGCAGGCTTGAAAAATACTTCCTCAGCCACTTTCCTTTGCCTAAGAAGTGACAGCTTTGCATAACACACCCACTGCAAGCTTTAATAAAGTATTTCTCATTACTATGAAGCATGCTGATCTGCTACTAGAGGAAAAAGTTTCCCATTGGCCAAGAGCTTAACCATAGAGCTTTTGTTCTTTCATCTTCCCTCCTTGACTCCCCACTTGTTACAAGGTAAACTGAAGCTTATTAAAAATTTAGATTTTTGAGCAAAAATCGAAAATCAGGCAGCACCATACAAACCGGAAATAGCTAAGAACGTTCCACCAGCAGGACTGGGGGAAAGACTTTATAGATAAGATATGGAAGCAAAGCAAGGAAATTACCTGACTGGCTGTAGCAGAAGAGGTTGCCTGATCTGGGAAAGCCTAGTTGGCTGTGATTGCTTGTGCTTAGGTTTTGATTTCTTAACCTTGGGGCATTGCAGGCTTAGGTTTTGGGTGGCTTATATAGGCTACCAAGGCTTTAAGGTCACCTCCGTCTAATGGCCTCATTGTTTAACTAATTTAATTCCTTCAAATATGAGTGCTGCAGGAAAAGAGGAGTCTGGGGTTTGATAGACCTTAGCACATCCTGCTTATTTTTAAAATGATAGTAAACAACTGATCTGATTGGCCTTTTTTTGTTGAATTTATTAGAGGGTTGCGTTGAGGAAACTAACCAACTGCATGAAAATGATGCAAAATATTCAATTTTATATAAACTTTTGTGTTGTTGTTAATTCTCACTCAAGGATATTTTTTCCATTGATTTTCAGAGATCTTGGTGGGGGAGGGAGAGAGAGAGATTGAGAGAGACACATCAGAGAGAGACACATCAACTGGTTGCCTCTCCCACGTGCCCTGAAAGGGGGCAGGGAGCGAACCCCCCAACCCAAGTGCTGAAGCTTATTAAAAATTTAGATTTTTGAGCAAAAATCGAAAATCAGGCAGCACCATACAAACCGGAAATAGCTAAGAACGTTCCACCAGCAGGACTGGGGGAAAGACTTTATAGATAAGATATGGAAGCAAAGCAAGGAAATTACCTGACTGGCTGTAGCAGAAGAGGTTGCCTGATCTGGGAAAGCCTAGTTGGCTGTGATTGCTTGTGCTTAGGTTTTGATTTCTTAACCTTGGGGCATTGCAGGCTTAGGTTTTGGGTGGCTTATATAGGCTACCAAGGCTTTAAGGTCACCTCCGTCTAATGGCCTCATTGTTTAACTAATTTAATTCCTTCAAATATGAGTGCTGCAGGAAAAGAGGAGTCTGGGGTTTGATAGACCTTAGCACATCCTGCTTATTTTTAAAATGATAGTAAACAACTGATCTGATTGGCCTTTTTTTTGTTGAATTTATTAGAGGGTTGCGTTGAGGAAACTAACCAACTGCATGAAAATGATGCAAAATATTCAATTTTATGGATGCTCATTCTTCTGCCCAAGGGAACACGTGACTTCTACCATGCCATTGCATAAATAAATTAGATTTCAATCCTATATTTGTGAGAAACTCTATGAATAAAGTTATGCAAATCTCAAAAGGTATTTCAACACAAGGTGAACAGAAATTAGTCTACAGCACTGTCACAGATTATATTAGGATGCAGATATTTTAATAACCATTAGAGTTATTTATTTACCAGAAATCTTTCTCCTGATAAGCATACCAAACCTCCCTGAAAGATCTTTTATTGACACGACTTTAAAGGCTGCACAGGGCAGAGAGGCAAGCAGGAGAGTTCCCAAGAATGTCCAGGACCTGAGACCAAACACTCTGCCTCTCTTTCCACTACCAACACTCCCTACCCTTCACTGCCTGGGTGGATGCTGACATGGTGGATACTATTATTATTATTATTATTATTGTTATTATTCTTTTGTTAAGAACAGACAGATGAACCACTATGATCTTTTAGCTCCAGGCTGACCTCTGCTCATAGGGAGCCCTGCAGTAACAAGTTCTGCATTTCCTATTAGTTTCTGCACCTCCCAGCTCTGGGGGCTGC